TTTGTTGGGTTTGTTATCGAGAGCTCATGAATTTTTCCGGTTCTAATCTCTCGTGTGAGGGTTGAATTGCGAAAAAAACTGAGTTTGATTTTTGTTTAGACATGATGTCTGAGTAATCTAGACTTATGATTTCACACTAAATACTAGGTACTCTGTTACATTGTAATTTGTATTGATAATTTTTAACAATTTAAATTGCATTTCAAACGAACAGTTAATCATAGTTTGTAATTAAGAATAAAAGATTCGAAGATGGGTTACTATTCTTTTATTTTATTTTATTTTCTATTTTTTATTTTGTATGGAGATAAAAAAAGAAAAAGACCTCTGGAAGATAAAGTTTGTAGCAAAATCAATGGAAAGGTGGAATAAAAACAAATAATTGGGTTCCTGTCTGTATGCTAAGAAGAGTGAGGAGGCCTAGAATATTCACCCACATCGTTTTTTTCGGAAAAATATACTTATTTTACAAGTTTAATGGACTACTCTTCCTTCTACCAATTGATTTTGGTATGGAACCCGAACCTAGAATCCGATAATTTTTGACATAAGAGAGTGATGAGGATAAAAATGGTTTAATTTTAATGAAAAGAAATCCAATTGATTTTGGGATGAAACCGACCTAAAATCCGATATAAGACAGTGATTGAGGATAAAAATGGTTTAATCCGATATAAGACAGTGATGAGGATAAAAATGGTTTAATTTTAATGGAAAGAAATCTGACATAAAAAGTAAATCTGGTAAATCTTTTCTTTGACAGTGATGAGGATAAAAATGGTTTAATTTTAATGAAAAGAGATCATAACAGATGAGGATAAAAATAGTTTAATTTTAATGAAAAGAGATCATAGCAAGTGAAATAAGCCAGAAAATACCATACATCATATACAATATGTAAGAAAATATCACATAAATTAATGACTATATTTGTAAGTTGTAGGATAGTACAAATAAACCTAAAGTGTAATCATGTATAAATATATATGGGATTGTGTTCTAGCTATCACAATTTGTAATTGGGATATTACCATGAACTGAATTAGGAAAAATCTATTTTTCAGTTTCTCTTTTGAATCAAACTATCAAAGTGTGGTGTAAGATGTTTTGCAGTTTTATAGAACTTTCTCCAGTCTGCTACAAAATAGAAATGTAAAACTCTGTAATATAATGGAAATTCATTCCACTATATCTGCAAGTCATAATTTTAAATACCAGCATTATTTATCTAGTTATACAAATATTATTTTTGATCTAGTCGTTAGTAAGACGGTCTCACATTAGCTTTGTTCAACTTTGTAAACATGTATGATAAAATTTGACTAGAATGATCCCATAAACTCCTTAACAAGGTCTCATTAATTTGAGCAGATAAGCTGATTATATTTGTAGGACCCCTGCTTATTTTGATATTATAATTCATATTTTAACTTAAATGTTGGTAATTTGACTAATTTCAATGGTTTAGTTCCAACCTCTCTTATAAAATGAACTGGAAAAAAAAAAAAACGTTATTCTGCTCTCGATCTAAAAGTATATCTTAAAACACTCTGATTTTTTTGGCATAAAGCAACTAAGAAAAATTGAGATGTATGGTACCAAATGAGAAGTAATTTATTTTTTTAGTAGTACTTACAAACTTTTTATAGACAACAAGACTTTATACTCCCCTCTGTTATATAATTTTTCCAAATATAAGTGTTAATTTTTTGTGTACCTTATAATTCTACATAGGTCATTTCTTGTTTTTCATACTTATTTTGTAATTTTATTTGTTAACTTATGATTTTTCAGAGTAATCAACACGAGTGCATATATATAACATGAAAATTTTGCAGGTTCGAATTCTTCACGTTTTGAAAACCACAAAACTCAGACAACACGCAATTATCCATAATAAGTGAGACAAGAGAAAGTTTACGGCCTTTTACTTTACTAATTATTGTTTTGGGCCAAATCAATTAAGAGTTTGTGTCCTAATAAAATGTCTTAGTCTATACCTATCCTTTCCCTCAGCTTTNGTAGGCAGAAAGTAAAAGTAATCAGCCCATCACATTTTTTTCTTGTCTGATCTTCTTTGGCAGTGTTACTTTTTATCTTATTGTCCAAATTAGTCCACTTTTACTACTTTCCAAATACAAATTTGGACTAATTTCTACATAAATTCTATGGCGCCCTTAGGGTACCATGCCACATTATGATGTGGCATATGAGGTGATATTTTTGTTTTAAATTATTAATTCCATGGCATATATTATGTGGCATTTTTTAAGATTTAATCAATTAATAAACCTTCCATAATAGGATTTGTTGCGTTACTTTCCTTATTGTTATATGCCTATGGGGAATAAATTAAATATAATAAAATATGCTATAAATTAAACTGCATATTAATTTGATATAAATTAATTTTGAATTGATTATACAAAGTTTATCATTTCTACCCACAAAACTTTACATTTCTGATATCATCTTATTGCTTAAAATTACAATTTATTTGTTGGATGCTTAATTGAACATTCACCCTGTATGTAAAATAAATATTGTATTCTCACCGTCAAATGGGAAAGTGATCAATTAAGATTTAAATAATTGAGATTTAAAATATGTGAACTTGAATTCAACTTTAAGCTATTAAGAAATAAAATATAGGGAATGCGTATAGACTAGTGAATCTCTTTTTAATTATAATGATGGGGGTATGAATGCTCAATATAACATCATATATGCCACTGGAAATATTAGGTGTATGATTTTGGGAACAATCCTATTATGGAGGGTTTTTTAATTGATTAAATCTTAAAAAATGCCACATCATATATGCCATATAATTGATAATTAAAAACAAAAAGGCCACCTCATATGCCACATCATAATGTGGCATGTCTTATGGTACCCTAATGGACGCCATGGAATTTCTGCTAATTTCTACGGGCACTCTTTTTATGTGGAATTTAATCAAATTGAGTAATAATTCGCGATAGGGAGAAAAATAGTGGGAGAAGGTGAAAATTATTCAGATGCACATAAAAACAGCAAACTTCTTTTGCAGTTTGCACTTGGTTGTTTGGAGCATTTTTATAAAAAGAAAAAATCATTTTTTTTTTTTTAAAATGGACATTGCAAAATAAATTTTTCTAAAGTTTTCACTTTTCATTTTTACATACATATTTTTTTTAAAAAAATCAAAATACTCAAAAAGTTCATTCTTAATTTAACACCAAACATAATTTTTTTTTTCCTGAATGGGCTATTAAATCCAAAAGTCTATTTCTGAAATGTTTCCGAACAACTTCATATTCAATTCAATTTCATTTCATTCAATTATTTTATTATTATAAAGAATAGCAATAATTAATTGTAATTTAACAGAAAAATAGTAAAATTACCCTAGGTATAGAGATAAAAAAAATCTTAAAATAAACTACTTTTTAGGTAGTATTTTGCATCTAAAAAATAACCCTATTACGAACACAATTTTTATTTTATTTTAAATCGGCTGAAAATTTGATACTCTTAACAAAATATTTTTGCGAACAATTCTATCACAATACACTTCTTAATCGTATCCTTTAAAACAAATAAATACGTGGTTATCCACAGACGAAACTTGGCATTTTTCCCATCACAAGATAAAAGGGCCTAAACTAATGATGCTTACCAATATGTCAATATGAGAAACTGCCACTTATTTAAGAGATAAGTATACGAAGAATTTTGCCATAGTTATGTCCCAATCTAAACAGTACACAAACAATACTCCCACTAAGGAGACAATTTATATATTCGTTATAAGAGAAAAATGCGCCTTAAAAAGAAAATCTACTATGTGGGCTACGAACTATGAACCTAAAAATCAAGATAAGACATATANTGATTAAAATTAAGATATAACACATCAAAATTCTTCAATATTATGTATTGGAAACTATCATCATATTTTAGACTTTTAGACTTTTAGTTCGTTCTCCTAGCACATGATCCATAAAAAAAAATAAAAAAAGAAATAGAAATGACCAATGAATTCTTTGTGAAAATCAATTTTAGATATTATTTCTTATTTAATTATATAAACGAGTTCATTGCCAAAATACACGGAAAAATATAGAAAATATTGGTACTAATCAATTTAGAAAAAGTTTTATATATCCGTTTTGAGTCAGGAATATTAGTGATTGTCTTAATCGATTGGAACTCAACTGTTTTGATTGTTACTCCAAGCATATCAAAGATAGACTAGACTCAATAATATTATACAGAATTTTGTTCGATTTTAGCCTGATATTAGCTTGAGTCGTGGGTATTTAGGTAAATTACATATATAGTCCTCAAGTGGCTCGTCAAGTACTCGAGCTTGCAAATTACAAGTTCTGGCTTGTCTCAAGATCAAAGTCAAGGTATCCCTATTGTAGTTATTTTTACCGAAGTGGAATCGAAAGATTCGAACACCGAGTCGTTTCTCAAGGAAGGTCAGCCGAATTATTTGTACGAATATTCAAACACACAAAAAGACAAAACAAGTCCTAAACACTCTAATTCAAGTGGTTGGATTTGATTATCAACTACTAGATTAACTACGAGAAATTCTCAAACAAGACAATTCCGATCTCACAGCACAAAACACAATTCAAATAATGATAAAAGGGACTAGGGTGTCGGGGACAATCATTTTCGGTTGTCAATACATTAAACAACAATCAATCACTCGGCTAAAGACCACGAAATACTCACTCATTCAGAGATTCATTCTCAATAACTCACATAACAAGAGAATAAACGTAAATGAACGATAATCGAATCAATTAGCACATAGACAATACGTCTCCGAACAAGTCTATTCTAAACGAGCCTAGATCAATCAATTCCTCCCCTTTCGGTTCTAAGAATCGATTTAGTGGATTAAAATGGTGATCAATCAATTCAATCCTAGGTTTAACACAACTCGAATAGATTGAGCAATTCA